TATGGGTAACACTTCTTGTTTAATTATTTGCGTAAATCATCAACTCATACACGCACTGCTGAGAAACAAGAAATTGTAGCTTATATTTGCAATGTCCAAAATCATAAGCATCACAACAAACCTAGGATGATCATTCCTTAAATGTAGCAGGCTTTTTCTTAACCTTATACATAAGAAGGAAAACTTGCAATGGCATTGAACACGGTGTATAGATATATCGATGACATTTACGTCGTACTATAGTGACCAATGAAAAATACACGTACTTACATACATATATCGACTCGATGTATTCTGGACTTCAAATAAAACAATCCAAGAGATCGAGTTTTACACATTTGTTTCACATTTGAATATTTTTCTTGAAAAAAGATGTTAGTGGTATTTAACTAAAAACTTTTCAATAAATGTGATATCTTCAACTTCTTTATCGTCCACTTCCCCTCATAGGTAGCGATAGCGTTATCACCTAAAATAGGGATCATGTCTCTCGCACAGCGGGTGTGACCGGTTGACAGGGATGCTTATTTCTTTCTGACACCCTATTCTATCTCCGAAGTTTATTGATTGATTGATTGTATACTGTTTAACGTCCCTCTCCAGAATATTTCACAGATATGGAGACGTCACCATTGCCGGTGAGGGGCTGCAAATTTAGGCCTATGCTCGGCACTTATGGCCTTTGAGCAGGGAGGGATCTTTATCGTGCCACACCTGCTGTGACATGGGGCCTCGGTTTAAACGGTCTCATCCGAAGGACCGCCCCATTTCGTCCCTTTTTCGACAAGCAAGGGGGTACTGAGGACCTATTCTAACCCGGATCCCAACGGGCGTTTAAGAAGTCCCTGTAAGCACTGCTTTATAACTGTGATATTTCAGTACATTTCTGAGCTTGATTACTTTTCGATATCTCCATATTTCATTTATCATTTGACCGTACATAGAACCACAAGAAAAAATTTCAGAAACATTTTAATGATACATGTACATAAAAGACATCTAAATAATCTATGAGAAAGAAACTTCACTGATGCTTTGCTACAAAATATGCATACACTGCAGTACAAGATAAATTAAAAGACTAGATTTTTTTATGCTATCATGAATATCTGCTTCTTCGATAAAATGAAACTCAGAAATTCTTATATCATGTGAATTGTCATTAACAAAACTAGCGCACTTCATGAAATATTACTATACGTGGCAAGTCTGTGTGAATTACGAGGGCTGTTCAATAAATAATGTCCTCGGTGCTCGGAAAGAAGCAAAAGACGCTTTTCAATGATTTTGTCTTCATTATTTTACTGATTAATCTCTTTTAATTACAACACATGTCCGTAACCTTTTTTATCCAATTTCTGATTGATTTTAGAACTCATTTTTGGGTATGACCCTTGGTATACTGGAAAATGGCAGATCCAATGATTTCCAGAACTTGTTTCTTCCTTATCAAAGGTGATTTTTTTCAAGTTTGGAAATAGAAATAAGTCAAAAGGTCAAAGATCTGGCGAATATTGTTAATGTGAAAAAATACTATCTGTGTATCCCGAAAACCCCTTTACTCTTCAGGGAGTGCGGGTTTGGACGCTGTCATGAAGAATTTAATGTAGTGGATTCCTGATTCTGGGTCCTTCCTCTAATAAACCGTTCGATTTTTTTGCAAAAAAATTGTTTTCTAGCCTCAACCAGAAATTAAACTGTCTCCCCGAATACGAATTTGAACAACAATACCACTAATATTTAAGAACATTGCATATAAATCTGTCTTTGTGCTCTTGCAATTCTTTGCTCTCGCCAGACCTTCCCTGTTTTTGTCAAGTACATCTTATGGTAAATTTTGTTTTGATGATTTTAAGCAATAGATTCAAGTTCCATTATCTGTTTGAATATCCAAAAACGTGGATAACTCCAATTACTGATATTTTAAAGTAATTGCTAAGACATTCATACACGCTGTCGTTTTCACTCATTTTTCAAAATATAGGTTGACCTTTGAGTACTAAGCTTTTTTACCGTCAAACGTTTCTTAAAAACAGTGTAAACTACCCCCGAATGTGATGTCTATCAAATTTGCTATTTGTCTTAAAGTTAATCCTACACCATCAAGTATTTTTTGTTGAAATTTGGCAAACAGTATATAAGTGTTATAATTTTTTGTTTGCAAGGACGGTCTCCATTTTTGATGCCCATTATATAATATTTTATCATTGAAATCCACCTGCTCATTTGTCTATAAAACAGGTTTTGGTTGCTGTAAATGTCACATATTTTAGTGAATATTTCTTTGGGATTTTTAACAAGTTTTACAGCAGCTTTGTTTAAGCTTTTATTTTTCACTCTAGTTTACCGATTCTTTACCATTCATTTATAATGCAGTGTCTCGAAAAGCCCTTATTTCCCAGCTTCTCACAATGAAACTATGTGATGAAAAGTGGTCACATGAACTGTTATAAACTCATTAAAGATTCAATTACGAGAGAAAGCCAATTTTAATGTCATATGATATCTGTATTCTATGTCATACAGTTCAGGACATTATTTAATGAACAGTCCTCGTACACATCAATAATTCACACACAAACCTTCAAAACATTCCATAATCAAATGGCAAGTTCGAGCATGGGGGAAATTGAGCTCATGCAAAAGCAACTAGAAAGCCTTACAAAGAGTTAATAAATTAACAACTTGCAAAAATAAGATGTCACTAAAATTCAATGATCTATACGTGTACATAGTTCATGTATTGAAAAAACACTTTTTGAAGTCAAAGTTTAAAAAATAATTCTCATCGAGTACTGGTACTTCCAGAGAAACAGGTTCAGTTACAGAAACATGGTATACAGTTAAAGCACAAAACATCATTCTCCCACTTATAAGATTTTTGAAATCTCGTGTGTTTTAAGGAATAAATTCAGTTTCTCGCAAAGCAATTCTTTATGGTGTTGACCAATGCTGGGAACTGCTTGAAGAGTATAATCGAGTCCAATACAAATAGAAATATAAAAACGGCCGAGATAACGGCGACACCAATTGCTCCCAGAGATCGAGCAGACGGGCGGTTGTCCATGACGCTGATCCTCTTCCTAAGCTGAGACGACAACTTTGCCTTATTGACTTCCAGCTCTTTCTTTATCGTATGTATAACCTGTGCCAGTTCTGCACTTGTATAATTCCTTACTGGGTGGACTCTGTTACATGGACACTTGCAATCGGCTGAAATAAACGAATCCTCAAATACGTTATTCTCTTAAAAACTTTAAAGTGACAATACAGCGCATCTCTTCAAAAACAGACTTGTTAAAATTTTCCTATAGGAATTGGAATTTTGTTCATACTCATAAATGTATACACTTTCAGAAAATTACAAATTTCATAAGTAAATAATTCTGATTATTTCAACAAAATTAATAATTATTTATGGCCCATACAATATACATCGCAACGTGTTCGAGGTTCCATGGTAAACAAAAGAGAGGGAAGCCCGGTAGGCCTGCTACATTGACAAAGTCGACCAAAACGAAAAACAAAACCAAAAATAGGGCTTGAAATTAAAAAGCAACTTTCCTGACAAAAATTTAGTTGGAGATTAATATAATCATTGGATGAAGAAGAAACGGGATATCCGCGACATTCACGTGGGGCTCGTGAAGGTTCTACCCTACAGGTTTGTTGATACATGCTATCATTTCTCGTATCTCCATGGCTTTCAAAGAAAAAAAAAATCAATGTAAACTCAACTTAAAAATGCACTTATGACATATAAAAATTAAATTCCCATTTGAAGTGCAAATTGTATTGGAACTGCAGAGAGATATTTTGTTCAAGACATTTTGCCGCGATGACGTGTGGTTTAGTGGATTTTCCTTTCCTGCACCCCAATACACAAAACGTCAATCATGTTAAATGCGTCTGAATACAGACTAATATATGTTAACTATTATTAATTTAAAGAAGAGTTAAGATATTTTGATTCTCAGATTTGCTTTTACTTAATATTTCATTATAATCGTAAACCCTACATTGTATGCACGTGCCATTTGAGAATTCACGTGGTACAAGTAAAAAGATCTGTTGTACGACCCTTGATTTTCCGGCAGATTCTAATTACGTTAATTTTGTATGAAGAGAGAATATTTATTTTTCTCAAATGCTTACTTCAACTTCTTACCTTATTCCTGGATAATATATTGGGTAAATTTGAATGAAAAAGCACAAGATTTACAGCCGTATTGCAGCTTTAAAGATTGCAACTTTTTAAACCCCAAATGTTAAATAAACAAAGAAAAATAGAAGTCAGATTTTCATGGGCGATATTTCGAAAAATATTTCTTCATATGTATCGATATGCGTATTGTCCTCACAAAAATCACTATATATCGATATCTCGATATATCGTCCCAGCCCTAGTATAAAAATGGCAATTTTAAGGTAATGTCGATGTGTGGCACTCTAAGAGAAATTGATTTTGTCCCTATTCTTATATTTAATCTTAAGGTTACTGAAGAATTGAATATAAACAACGTGATTCTATTTTCTTCCATAATATGTGCCTTTTTTTCAAAAAGGGGTTTCATGATGTGTGTTCAAATTTCTTGAGGCACATTGGTTTCAAAACTATACTATTTTTCTGTGTCTTTAGAATTGATTTAAATTTTCAACCTTTTTTGCAATCATTTGGACTGGTTTTCCCCGGCTGTTTTGTGTAGTTTGTTGGACAAACAAAGCATTGGATGTGACTTCCTGTGAGGTTCTTATAAGTGCCTATTTTGCACTCATCACATGATTTTGTTGTTTCGTTATATTCTTCACCCTTGTCACAAGTTACTGGAGGAAAAAAAAGTACTTTTAACATTTGACTATCAGGGCACGTTCTTTTGGTATCATTACATCAACAATAAAATCTAATTAACTTAATTGCATGCTGTTAATTTTCATGCAAAATCATATTTGTCATATCTTTAATTCATGTACTGGAATTTTTTCTTTAAGAAAACATACTGTTACTGTTTCTGCAAGAAGAACTGAGTTATTATAATGACAGTTTTTCTTTGAACGTTGCCGGAAAATTTATATCACGAGTATATATGGGTACATCCCACTAATTATTTTTAGAATCGGTAGGAGAAGAAAGTAGTGCAGAAAAAATTACAAGTTCCTTAAATTGCAGACTTGCATAAAAAAAATTGGGCAGGTGTACTGAACTGAGCCTCACACTTGTTGATAAGGAGTATCTTTCCTGCCAAAAAAGCTTTGAAAATGTAATTTATCAAGAAGATCAGCCGAATTATTTTGTGTATTATAACGCCAGTGAGAATTCTGAAATTCCCCTACTTTCACTTTCATTTTTAGAGGTTCCCGCAGACAGACGCATTTTGCCGGAAAACGAATCTGACATGCCACCTCGAAATTTTAACCAAGGAAAGACAAGTTGATGTGCTTTGATTTGAGGGGTCATATACCGAACGAAAATTAGGGACATCGCTATGTGAAGAAACGTTAACATTGTCGCCTATGGGAAAACAATTAGTGGACTGTACCCATGCATATATTCGTAAAGTAAGTACGCAGCAATTCAGAGTTTAAACTGTAATATATAATACTAGTATGTAACATTTCCATAGATAACCCCAAGGACGTACCTACGCATTCACGAGATCCTAGTGTTCTTGTAGTTTTACCATCCGGACACTTAGTACAGTTCCACCTTAGATTTTCACTTAACGTAACATTTTTACTTGATGTGTTTTTAAAATATCCAATGTCGCAAAGAACACATGTTCCATTGTCAGCCAAGTAGAGTCCTTCTAGGCAATGCTCTGAAATAACAGCAAAGAACATTTATCTCGGGTGACATTCACAAAAACATATACCCGGTACATTGTATGTACACCAAGGTGATTTAATTTTTACGACCAAATTGCAATACTAATATTCTGATATTGTTTTTTTTTTTTTTGGCTTTCAGCAATTGGAAATATATATTTTCCTATAGAAAAATGCATTAATGGTATGATCTTTAATGGTGAATGGTACTATTTGTAACTTCTCTACTGTCAACTTCCCCTAATTATTTAGCGATATACTGGTACCTTTATCACCTGCCTATGGGAGTTATGTCCCCAAGTTGATTCTTAATGCAATCGTGAGTAGTCTCTACGTACAAAAATATACTAAAACGAAGTAAGCTATGAACAAATAAGATGATGAAACAGTATTATTTAAAGTATTTATTTCGCAAATCCTATGGTCTACACAATGACCTTGTCCGCAAATACAATCCATCATTAAGTGAATGACTAATGTCGACAGGGGATAGTTATTCATTCATGGCACATGACCCCACCTCTGATGTTTCTAGAGGTCAATCTTTGTTCTGCTCACGATTCTAAATGTTGAAATAGACATTTGAACTGATTACTGTTTGTTATCTACGAAGAGCTTTATAAGCAATTCTAGAAAAATTTAAGCAAATGTTTTCATCTTATATAACGACACGTCCAGAATATTGTACATATAGGTTATATCAACGAATGCTTGTTTTACCTAAACATGCATCTTTATTTGTGCCAGAACGGTATGTTGTTTTCCCGTCTTTGCACTGGGTGCAATTCCACCTCAGTTCATAAGAAAGTGAAAGATCTTTACTGGAAGTGTTTTTGTATTCCCCCACTGGACAAGGCAAGCATACACTTCCATTCCAAAAGCTGCCTTCTAAGCAATGTTCTAAAACATATTAAAATATATAAACAAATTTCTTCTTTCATAAGCATTTTGATGATTAATTATTTTACAAATATATTGGAATACGTCTTGGTAAATTTGCTTTTATTTGAATACTGCGCTATGCATTTATGTTATGAAATATTTTTTCTCACAACCGAGTCTTCTTCATCTTTTTTTTTCATCAAAGAAGAAGATTTACCGGTATTCACATTAAGTATATTTATCAAACAAGCACGAAAATTTAAGCCCTTGCTAAGATTATTTATAAATTTCAAACGAGAATACACAAAGCTAATGCTTTTTGGAAATCTAGATTGCTCCCAGTACTATATCGTACCAATACAGCCCTCTTCGTGTACAGTCCCTCTATTTAAGGTGGTCAAATTTTCCCGACAAGCTGTGCAGTTCCATCGTTCCTCAAAAGAAGCAGTAGTGTTGGCACTTGATATGTTTTTATAGAAACCTATTTCACACTCAGCGCAAGAATTATTATTCTGCAGCTCAAAACCTTCCTCACATATATCTATAATTTAAATTAATACGTGTAATTATTTTTTTTTCAAAGTATAGTCCTTGTATTTATATTTCAGTGATGGACCATATTGTTTTTACCATTTTTTTAATTTGAAACATTTTTTCTTTTGAAAAGATAGTTAGCTAGGCCTAGTATATTTTTTAGCATTCATTTCAGTTACTGAAAAAAAATGTTTTTGTTGTGCTCTAGGCCTGTTCTGTCATGAAGAAAAATAAATGTATATTTTAGATAATAAAACTTTTCTAATTACACATGTATTTGAAAAAAAAAATTGAAAAGAATTCTTGTTTAAATTGTAAATCATTTTCTTCCCCCTAAAATATTTATTTGAAATGTGGAACGAGATGACATACCAATACAATCTGTAAACTGGACGTTGCGTTCAGTGTATGTAGTGTTTCCCTCTGGACATTGAATGCACCAGAACCTATCGGAAACACTCAGATTTGTGTTTTCTGCCGACATGTCTTTATAATACCCAACTGGACACGGTTCACATTCCTTTCTTTCTCCTCCTACTCTGGTTTGTGACTAGATGAAATATTCAAAGTATATTTGCTTATATGTCTTATATACATGTGTTTAGGTGAAAGAGATTTAAAAAAACAAATTTTCTTTCCTCATCACTATTGTACAACATTAAATAGAAATGGTAAAGTGTGTTAAAAAAAACTAGGAAGGACTATATTATTTTTAGGAATGTTGGCGTATATAATATCTCCTTTCCTGCCCCTCAAAAGGTTATCATAGAACAATGAATTGAGTTACATAATCAAAGACTTAAAGAAATCTACATATATAAGTGAAATTAATGATAAGGGACTAAAATTATATCAAATATGACTATATGACTTTTCAAACAATCTAAAACTTTGTTAGCTTTTAAAAGCTTCCAATATAGGTAAACAAAATAGGTTAGCCAAAAATCCATAAAAAATATTTTTCTCTGAAGTAATTGATAAAAATATTTTGCTTTTATTTCATTTTATATCTTTATGTGACACTTTACTATATGTGAAAGAAAGAAAAATCTAAATATAAGAAACATATAAAATAACTACTATATTCTTAAAAAAAATTAAGAAAAGTAGAGGAAATTCGGATTAGCCAATATCCATTGCAGTTGAATTATTTTTGTCAATGTCATCTACAAGGCCTTTTAAAATGGTAAAATCTTCTTATGCAAAAAGAAAAACATTCAATCTTTTGAAATGCTAGTAGGGATCGTATGATTATTTACAGTAACTTTTAAAGGTACTTGGACACAGATTTGAAGTCAATATTTTTTCTATAATATTACGACACATAAATTTTGATAGCATTTCACACAAAAAATCAATTAAAAATCTTATTTCATTTGAAAGTTATTAAAACTTGAATTTTTTTGGCGGGTTTGATTGCCACATCCTTGCATTTCCACAAATTTTAACCTTATTCTTAAATCTCAGGAAAAGTGGCAATCTTGTGGTGTATTAATGAGAAATATTAAAACTTCTATCCAGAAAAATAGTTTTATTCCGAGTACAAATGTTAGAAAGCAAAACTCCCTCACAGGTATCATCATTTCTAACTAAGGGTTGCTTACAGAGTTTAGCAAATCGAGCACACTCGTGTTATGTACACAGTTTTTGTAAACAGGGCTCGAGTTCTGTCATTGTTTATATTTAGAATTCACCGGGAGCGTTCAATCATCACAGCCTGCTTACCACAACTGCACGGACTGACAATATATTGTGTGTATGTTTTGCTTCCGAACATGTCTACTCTGAATTTTCTGGATTATAGTATTAATATTTTTCATTTATACACAACGACACACTTTTCCTAAGGATTAAGAATAAAATTAATTCGTGAAAGTGCAAGTATGTGTCAATCGAACCCGCCAAAAAATTGAAATTTTAATATCTTTTATATATGAAATAAGATTTTTAATTAATTTTTGTGTGAAATGCTATTAAAATATATATGTCGTAATATTATAGAGAAAATAATAACTTCAAATCTGTGTCCAAGTACCTTTAAAGCAATATGAGCTGCATTTTTGAGAATTTTATTTTGTTGGTAAAATGTGTTATTATGATAAATTTGTACGTAATTTAAACCCTTATGATCAATAAGACCAAAATAAAGTTTAAAAAATGTTTCAGAAGAAATATTTCTGTACGACTTAATATACAGTATTATATAAGAAATAATGTACAGGACGACAATAATTCAATTTTGCTTCAATCAAAGCTTATTAAAAGTTCTTCCATCGCAAATATGAAGAAACAGAAGTTCACAAATGTTCTATTTTTCGGTCATTGAAATAGTTAATTGCAAATTTGCATCAAAATTTTCCGATGTCAAACATGCAGGTCATATTGCTTTTATTAATGTCCAGGGAAAATGTAATGGCCAAGACCTGACCTTGTCTCTAATATAAGGCGGTCAAATTTAAGCTCATTGATACCAACACTTATTGATTTTGTCTTCTTGATTCTGAAAAAAATTCATTAATTTTTTAATACAAGAAATATGAGAAGAATCCTACCTTAGAGGAAAGAGTCCCTGTTACGACATTTTCTCTGTACAACGTATCATTGTTCGACGTATCGTTATTAAGCTGCATTCCCTCAGTGCAAATGGCTTTGAAATACAAAAAAATACCACTACTACAAAATTTGAGTTGAATTTTTATCATTCAATACAGATAAATGTCTATTTGAGTTGAAATACCTACGGACACAGTCATTTTGCGAGCTACTGCTTTGATAAAATGTAGTGTAATTCTCTCCACAAGACTGACATCTGAGCTTCCACGACTTTCTTTCACGGTAAAATCCATAATCACATGCTTCACAAGTTAAAAACATGTTCATACCCTCACCCCCAGGACATCCTAAATAGATAAAACAACCGTATTAGAGTTAAAAAATATACCTTCTTCGTTGATTAATAAGGTAAGGTGGATAACAATAATAAGGTAGTTAATAGTAACGTAAATACTCAATACACCCCAGTCCACATCATTAACAAAAAAAGTCTATTTCATGTTTATCTACGATATTGAGAAGTATTTTATGTATATTTTTTTTTCAAAAATTAATAGACAGGGTAAAAAAATGTACCAAGCTGCTCTAGCTTAGTAAATCTTGACCCAACACCCAGTTTAATATGAACTACTAGTATTCACAAAAAGTAGGAGATAAATGTACTGTATTTTGTGATCAAAATGTTCACATATTAAAAGGGATGCTAAACCATGTTGCCATGTTAACTAGGAAGCATCACCCAAACACTTCAATCACACTCTCTCGATCTGCACGGGATGCAACTTATGATCAAGGGTGTTGGGCTACAAAGATGCATGCTTCTGAACTGGAAGGTTGAGGCCATTCTAAAGAAAGATTCTGACGAAAAAGCATCAGTTGATGAAATCGTTAATTAAACAGAAACCATGCGCAGTCTAACACAGGATGAAAGGTTACGTGCCCTTGGCTTGCTGCAGGTTGGCACAAGACAGAGCACTGTGGTAAGGGAAATAAATGTTTCCCATTCTGCTATCAGCAGATTATGGTCCAGACATCGTGCTACAATGTCTGTTCAGGATAGACCACGAAGGGCAACAACTCTGGCTCAGGACAGATTCATCCGCACTATTGCCTTAAGAAACCGTCTGGTAACTGCAAATCAGATGTCTCAACCTCAAATGGATAATGGCTTGGCATTGAGTGGCCAGACCACCAGGCATCGACTGCACAGATTTCACTTACACGCCCGACGTCCTCGTGTCATTCCCCGTTTGAGGGATCATCACATTAGGACCCGACTCCAATGGCGTCTTCACATCAATACTGGGATAAGTCGATGTTCACTATAGACTGCCTGGGCAGACACAGGAATGTTTTGCACCAACCTAACGAATGTTTCCATGACGTTAACTTCATTAGACACCTCATGTTGTGCCGTTTGCACGTCTTTATGGTGCCGTTTCATTTTTCAAGATTACAATGCCGAATGTCTTAGGGCCAGGATCGTTACAGATTATCTCCAACAGCAAAATATCACCAAATTACCATGACCCTCACTCAGTCCAGACCTTCCTACCATCGAGCATGTCTTGGACCTGCTTGTACAGCGGCTACGCCAACATCAACGAGTGCTTGAATTTGGCGTTGCCGCTGTACTCTCTACCAATGCTTAAGCGCTTGCTGCAGCATTGCAACAGGAATGGAATAGCCTTCCCCAAAATTAGCTGGGACGTCTCTTTAGGAGTAGGCCACGCGGAATCAAAATTTGTATGACCAACAAAGGGTTTTTACACTCTACTAACCCCGTTTCACATTGGTGGTAAATTGGCTGTGTGACCCAATGTTGGTGTCGACCCTAACTCTGGAGAATCTGTCCTTTTCTGACTGTACACATGAAAAATGAATAAATTGACAAATGTTTTCTATTGTTTTTCTGTCATTTGGCTGCTTCCTGACCTTATTATCTGCATTCCATTGTCCTTATAAATCCAATATTCCCTACTTTTTTAAAGATAATGCACCAATCACCAGACGTACGAGGGCTGTTTGAAAATTATTGAGACATTGTGTATATTTTTCTTTCTATTGAACGTCTTTCGATGAAAATTTGCATATACGTTTGACATACACTAAGAATTAATAAAAGCAGGAAATATTTTACAAATGATAAACATATTCTCTACAATGGTATATAAATGCGTCAATAGTAAGGGTTCCCGGAGCAGTAAGGAAATCAGATATTGAAAATATGTAACACCAACGTTCTAACTCTTTGTGGATCCACAATAAGAGAGTCAATAATACAACTTATGTGTATAATTTTTCAACTTTATTGTACCCCCGCTTGAAAAGCGGGAGGGTATATAGTAATCGTTAATTCCGTCCGTCTGTACGTCCGTCCGTCCGTCCGTCCGTCCGTCTGTTACGCTGTGGGGTACCCTTCTCTTATCCGCAACTCCTCTCATACCAATGAAAGAAATTTAATGAAACTTTCACAGAATCTTTATTACATATTGCCATTGTGCAAATCCTATTTTACTTCTTGATCTGATATATATTTTGAATTTTCCAGAGCAAAACATGGATACTGACATTATATTCATATGGGAGGCGGGGGGTATTATTAATGCCTAGGTCACATTTTCCGGCCGGTAGCCGTGGACCGGTGGTAATCGGTGGTAATCCGTGGTGTTAACGATGCCCCAACATCGGTACACATCGGCCCAGTAGTCCTTTAAATATCAGTCACATTATCCAGCGATTGGTATACGATGGGCAACCAATGCGTTTTATGATAATAATGGTGTGATTGCCGGGCAGTCTTTCAAAGGCCCAGCGATGCATTGCTAATCATAAAACAATGTTCCAGGATAATCGGCTGATGTATATTACATCGCTCATACATTAGTGAACATCGACTACGGGCCAATGTTTCCTCGAACATCGACCGATGATCGGTCGTTATCTGTTGAACAACACTCAACTCCCCGATGGCCTCAGATTCAACGGATATTGGACGATGCTTGGCCATACATCAGCCGATCCTTGAAAGATGTGTTACTAATGGGTTGCCGATGAGGAGCTATAAGGGGCATCGTTGGAGACATCGCTGAATTTTAACTACGAATTATTTCCTACCGATGACCCCACCGATTCGCAAAATGGCCTCAGTCACCGTCCGATCACTAGTGGTGTCCGGCCGGCAACCACGCCATTTTCATAAAAAAACGCATCGGTTTCTCATCGTATACCCCATCGCTTGATAATGTGACTGATACTTTAGTGAGCTCATTGCTCACACTACCTCTAGTTTCAAATTAATGTTGTGCATTTTTTTTGTTTTTATCAGAAATAAGGAGACCATAAAAAAATTAAGCGCGGTAGAGAAATCTGCTAACAATGACAAAATGGATTTTGGCGTCAAGGGCGGAGCACCCAGCATACCTAAAAATTTTGTGTAGCGCAATGTAGAACTCTTTTCCAGACTGAACGACCTGCTAAAACAATAACAACGACAAAAAGTAATGTATATGTTTGGTATTTCATTGGTATACTTTTTTTTGCAATTAATTCCAACCAGAGTAAAATTAAAAGCTCTGTACTACCATCATTTATTATGTTCGATATTAATATCGTTACGGTATCAATAACGTTGACCCGCGTTGCATAAATCGGAAATGCATGATTCTTAGAGTCATCCTTTCCAACAAATGAAAATTTTACACTTGGGAAGCAACAGCATACATTTTTAAAGAATAGTTAAAGAAAAGAGACTGTTTGATTTTTGTAATGTTATATGTAATAACAGAGAAGGAAGAGTATTAAACGCTGCCTTATCGTTTCACATGCGAAACCATCTCCGGCTGACGTGACGTTAAATGAAGTAGCTATGTTGCTCCGGGTCGATAGACATATGCATATTTATTATTTCACCGAAACTTATCTAATTATCACAGGAATTAGATATTTTGCAGGAGTGTTTTATTTGTTCTTTATAAAATGTTGATAAATTTTCATGAAATTATCTCCGTCCTTTATGGAGTAAATGTAATTGTTTCAATAATTTCCGAATAGCCCTCGTATAACTGAATATGAAATGTTTATAAATAATCAATGAAGGAATATTATTTTTTGATAGTTGCTATCTGTTTGCTATAAAAATAAAATTTCTCCAATATGCTTTCTAAAATTCATGAAATGTTATCGATATTTAGGATTTTTGTTTCATGAATCCGATTTTTTTTTTACAATGTAGGAGGTTTATAAGAATAAAACGCCGTCGAAAAAATATCAATGATTTCTATTTAGGCCCTTCTGTCAGAATAAAAATCGTTCTTTTCTACCTTCTGTCACATATATTAATGCTTTTACTTTGTACTTTATATCAAACAAATAGATTAATATTAGATTAACTACAAAGATTTATGATAATCGTGGTGACTTCAACTTTTCAATGTCATTTCCCCTCACGTTTGTTGTTTATGCCCTTATATCCTGAGTATTGGGTTTAATTCTCAGCTGATTCGATATACAGGAGGCTTTTCGTAAGAAGTAAAGAACATTTTTCAAACGAGGTTAGTTCTTGATAAACAAGCTAATGAAACCGGAATATCAACAACCTCGTTTAAAGTAACCATTCGAAAATTCTATGGTCAATACATTAACCTTTTCAACAAAACATATCATAGGGTCAGATGGTGTTTTGATTGTTAAGCCTTTGTTTACATACTAGGTTTTCTGCGGATTTTTTTTTTCGTTCGGGATGTTTGCTCCCTCATGGCACCTGATCCCACCTCTGGAGTCCGTGTTTGCTCTGCTCCTAATTTGTGTTGTTTAATTGAACCTTTGAATTTGAATGCAGTTCCTAATGTTTCATGATCTCTATTCTTAACCTTCTATCAGTCGAATTTGCCCATGATTTCTACTCTATCATTTATCGGGTTTTATTCTGAACTTTTTGTCACACGTATATATCGATGATGACACAGTGCAGACACATATGGTGATAGCTGCAGATCTTTATCGTTATGGTTATATATATTTGTCTTTGACCATAACGCTACAGATTCCGTATTGCAAAAAAGGTGCAATTTGCGGCGCAATATTTTTTGCGCACTTTTGGGGAGAATTTCTCTTCTTTCAAGAACTGTTCAATCAACTACCTTTCACTCCCTAATTCTAGGCACATTATTTAATTAATCTGTATAATTATTCTGTCTCCAAACCCTTTATAGTCGCCTCTACATGTGAAGAACTCGCTTGATTAAAATTATAACAGATTACAATTCATATGATAAATTATGAAATCATAAGGCTACAGAACTGCAGCTAATATAAAGATAACGTAGCTGCAGTTCTGTAGCGTTAT